CTATGCCTTTGTGAAAGAGAGAATATTTGGTCCAGGGGATCTTTCTTTTGGACTTCAGGAGCTGCACTGGTTGAAGGAGAATACTTGTGGGTTGCTTTTAGACAAGCTTTTTAGGTTTGAAAAGTATAGAGATCATTTTCTTCCTTACTTTGTTTTTTGTTTTACTTTTTTGTCTTCTGCTCATTGTTTACTTTGGTCAAGTAAAGCTGCCTATGCCTGCCAAGAAAGGGACTGCTTTTGGGACACCCTTACCATCTTACATGCATCCAAGATGGAGACCCAACTAGTGCTTGCCATAGAGCTTGGAGAATTTTGTTCTTCCTTTCAGTTACATAATTCATTAAGAAACAGTAGGATCTTTTTTAACAGATTTTGAATATGACAATTTTGTTGTATGGTTTCCACTCCCAAATTTTGGTGATTAAAAGTTTAGCAATGACACAAAATATGCAATTATAAGGCTACGCCAACTGATTGCATTTGTAAAATCATTTAGTTTAACTTATAAATATGTTTTCAGAACAACCAAAACAATTTTCTTGACACTTCTGAGAGGAGTTGAAACAAAAAATTTTAAATTTTTGTAATTTTGGTAGAATTTGGAAGGTGTATTTTTGATTCATTTATTAAATTTTTTTTAAGAGCTTTGTTTCTGTTAATTGAAAATAATGTGGTATCAAGGTTATTTGCTTCTACTAATATCCAGTATTCAAAATAGGCTCAATAGCTGAAACTTGTTTCTGATTGGGGAACTCCAAATTAGAGATCCTCTCTTTCCCAGCCAGATAAGCATTTTGCATTTCACCCTCTCCAATCAGCATAAAACAGGACTTGAGAATCAAAATCAGACCTTTACTGGGAATGGGAGGATTATATGATACTTATTATTTGGAATATTATTTCTATTCTAAACTTAACTCATGTTCAATAAATTCTCGTCCATATTTTATGAGATAAAATTTTTTAACTTTTAAATCAGATTTTAGGCTTCGAAGTAATAATAACAAGAATTGCTTTTGAAATACAAACATGATTCATTTCTTATGATTTATATTATCGACAAGGGAGTTCAACAGGAGTAACTCAGGATCCATAGAGATCATATAATATATACATACAACATAAGGAGCTTATGGACATACTCATGTATGATTTGCTTTTCATATTCACATTAAAAGAGCCAATTGTTCAGTTCTTCAGTATGCAGCTATTCCACTGGATTTGCAGCCATCTAATTCACGTGCATTGATATCCACCCACACTTCATTAACACGACTGATTAACCTGAAAGGGTGAATCATACTGTGCAATGGAGTACGCATAATTGCTTTCAGAAGAAGTGCTGTTTGCCCATGGGGACCTGGTCAAACTTGTGGCAAGTTTCTCTGCCTCTTTCACAATTTTATCATCTGTTGCAAACCCAGAAAATTTCCGGATGGCAGCACAGTGACTCCTCCACTTATAGGGTTTGAGGTTCAGTTCAGGGAGGGGAACCGGCGGATCATCTTGGAACTTAACAGGCAGGTAAAATCGAACAAAATAGGCAGATGAATGAAGAGGCCCAGCACCTGGTACTATGCTTGTCAATACAGGAGCTGTCATAGCAATCCTTGAGAAATTTAGATTTGCACCTTGGATATACTGAAACAACCTAAAGGAACAGGAGCATTAAACCAACAGAACATAGTTAGTAGGAAAACAGTGAAGAAAAGAAATTAGCCCCACTCTAGTTTAAAATGAATTGAGAAATAAAGCTTGTTGAATAGGAAGTCTGCTACATGTTTCTAGGATGTGATTGACATAAAGTTGGCAGCAAATGTACTTTGCATATGCAGTAGCAAAGACTGGAGAATCTCCAAAAGAAATGCACTCGTGATAAATATCTGCAGCTGATATCTTAATTTCATATAACCAAAGGGAAAGTTACCTAAAGCTGCTTATAATGAACAGAGATTTGGATAAATTCTGCTCAAACCTTTTTTAGGGAAAAGACAGGATTTCATGTAAATCAAAGAATAGTCACTTATAATGCACCAATATTTGGATAAAGTATTATGGGAGAACAAACAATTAAGCTCATCATCGATCTCACAAATTACAATCCATCATTTTTCAGAAGTTGAAACAAGCAAAGCTTGCAATGTCCTGCCACCCCACATTTGCAAGTAATGCAACAATTATACAAAATTTCATGAACCCACACTCTCAGATATATATTATCTTATTTTCATTAATAATTTGACCACAATCATAACTCCAAGTATTTTATTGGTTGTTTTTGAATGTTACTTTAACTATTAAGGAAAGTGAATACTACATCTCCTTATAAGTATATGCAAAAACACTTGGAACATATTGGGTTAGGAAGCGAGAAAAGAACAGACTAAGCATATGAACTAATTGCTGCCCCTGGAAATCTTGCTAACCGCTATTACAATGAATAACCTGTTTGTGCTGCATATCCCTCCTCTCAAACACATTAAACCTACCACAAGATTTTTCTTAAGTGAAACAATTCTTCAGGTTTTTGTTGTCCTTGCCCAAAGATGTCTTGAAATTAAACTAGAATCAGAAGGTATGAATTACATCACCATGTTACTCCTGATACCACGACTAATATGTTCCCCGTTAAATCTTCGTAAGAAGTCAACGATTCAAAAACTCTAGTCATCAAGTTCTTTTTCATTTGCATCTCCATTTCTGGTTCCCATCCACACAAAGCCAATAACACAATACTGAACTGAACCCAACAAACAAGAACCTAGAAAATTCCATCTCACCTCGACCTTATAAATATGAATAACAACACTAATTTTTTTTTTTAATAAAAAAAAGTAAAATCACGCCGAAAAATTACTAAAAAGAAAACAACCATGATCAGCACGAAGACTATCTTGGAAAGAGAGATAGAGATAGAAGAATAAGAGAAATATCTGTGGAAACCATAGAGAGTGGCCTTTTGGAAAGAGAGGTCTCGAACAGAAGCAGACATCCAGGTGGAATCCCAGTAAAGCCTGATATCGAAGTCGGATTCCGAGTGTACAACCATGTACTGCGGTGACTCGATGGCCTTGCAAGGTACAACAACCGCCCAGCACAAAAAGCCCACTGCCGTGATCGTCAGCAACCTCCCTCTCTCCATTTGTATCTGGAGTAGTTTGTGTTGATGGCATCGTCTCAGTGTTTTATTTTTATCCCGGCCGGCTGCCGAATACAGTCGATTGTGTTTTTACCTTTCTAACCCTGCTATATGGTAGTGAGTTTACGAGTTTGCCCCTGTGCTCTGATGATTTGTTTTTTTTTTTTTTTACTAATAATTCTATATTTATTACAAAATATTTAAATAGTTTTTGTTTCTAAAAAATGGATATTAATTATTTAAAATTAATATTTATATTAAAAAATAAATAAAACAACTTTAACAACAAAAATATTTTAAAATAATTAAATTATTAAAACAGTTATTTAAAATTATTTAATAGTATTCAAATAATTATAATAATTATTTTTATATATTCAAAATTATTATTTTTCTTTACAGCAAATTGAGATGATGTGCATTTGGTTCATTCAGTCTTGAGAAATGTCGGCCAACCTAAACCAACTAAATGGTTTACCAAGGTGAAGTATCAAATGATACAATTTGAGATCATTTATATTTGTGTTAACCTTTACAACTATCAAATCAAACAATTTGAAGTTTTCCACCCGTCTTTGCCTTGAAAAGCTTATACTTCCACCAATTCACATTGGTATTCTCTGATTGATATACATTCAGCCTCTAAAGATGACTGGCAAGGTTCCTTCGGTGAAATACTCCCTTCTAACGTCCTCTGCCGAGCAGAATCTTACCTTCAAAACAAAATACAACTATCGTGCATGAGAAATCTTGTCCTCAACAGAAGTTTATGTTTGGGATGGGGGAATGGATCAAATGAAATGGAAAAGTGAGGTTTTTACCTTGGTATTATTTGGGAGAGTGTTTATTAGTGGATCAGAATGGAAATGAAGGGGACACAAAATCTTTCTCCTCCAAATGGGGAGATAATGAAAGGAATGGAAACAGATTGACAGTTGAATTTAGATATTTTACTAAATTATCTTCATTCTTGTATAATTTTTTATAAGTAATAAGGTTATTATTGTCTTTTGCACATTAATAATTTCAGGTTTCTACTTCTTGTACCTCCTAGAGATATTGTAAAATATTTTCCACTCATTTTCGATACTATCTTGTCCAAACAATATGAGGATACTATATTTACCCCCTGTCTTCCTCTCTTCCACATAAAGCTAAGAATTTCAAGAGAAGTGTATCGGAAGACATAGAAGCATCTGGTACTTTTATCACACATAAGAAACATTCACCACTTACACATGAGAAAGAGTAATTTAATTAAGCAACTCATTTAAAAGGCCAGTCTTCGAAGAAAAAGCATGCAAAAGGAGATGAATTGTGCAGATTAGCTGAAAAGGCCAAGGAATGGTGGAAGTATGAAGCTGAACTATGAGGTGCTAGTATTCTCTCCTAAGAAAATATGTTTTCTGCTTAATCCAGCAGAACAGACTACACTTGCTTAGAAATAACACCTCATTGGTAGCAGAAGAGACTTACCAGAGATGCATAGGACTTTAATAATGGCTTGACTAACTGCCAAATTGGCTTAAATATAAATGAAGCATCCACAAGGAGGACTTGATCCAACCGCTTTGGATAGTAATAGTAAAATACATCAAACTGCCAAAACAAGGAGAAGCAGATCAACTCTAAATGTCATGGACCATGTTAAGACAAGTTAAAGCAATCATGTCCTACAAGGGTACATGCAGAGGCTAAATTGACCAAATATAATTTCAGATGACATAATGTGCATAAACAAAAACCTTCAACTATTAACATCTAAAATGATTTTTAAAGTTGAGTAGCAATAGTGAATTATATATAGAACAAAGTATAGTTTAATACTCTAGAGCTTGATCTTTCTAATCTTATCTGGCAAATCTTTTTCTACCAATTTAGTACATGTTAGTTTGATTTTCTGTCATTTTACATAAAACCATTAATTTGCAGGTTCTTTTCTTCTAAAATTTCATTTCATTCTCCTAATTTTGAGTTGTTTAGCTTCATAACTGTATGTTTTTATACGTAAAAATGTATACATATTTCTTCAAAAAAAAAAAAAAAAATTACATAAAGTGACTAACTGTTGAACCACAGGTATTGAATTAATACGAAAAACAAAATCACAGGCATTTGCATTTGAAAGAAGTCAAACCACAGAGATTAGGTTGTACTTCGCCATTACATATAAACTCTAAAAAAAAACTAACAATATTATACAAAATTACTAACTGTAAAACTAAAGAAATTGAATTAATACAAAAAAGAACTTCAAAGATACTGTATTTTAGACTGTATTTTACTCTTACATATAAACTCTAATGGAAATACTACTAAAGCATTTTATAATTCTGTGAATTTGTAATTGGAATATAACTTCATGGGCAATTTGACTGCCAGCAAAGTAGTAAGACTGTCATAGACTCACAATTCATGGGGGCATGGCTCCTTTGATATAGTTTATAAAGAATAGATGGAAAAAGCAGATACTTCGGAAATAAAACATATTCAGCTAAAAGTGATGCCTTCATTTTAAGGGAAAAGAAAAGTTTAACTGGATGCAGTAGTTTTTCACTGATGGCATAATGCTAGCCAAAGCAGTAGGAAATACAAACCAACATTATGACTATTCATGCAAAAGGAAAATAAGTGTTAGAATACGAATAATTGATTGAAAAATTTCTATCGCAAGTTAGCTTATGAGATTATTGTTCAAAATCAATTACTTAACAGGAAATCAAAGCCAAAGGTCTGGTTTCAAATCCTGAATATTATCCAATTTCTATAAAAATTAATTTCACAAGCTATAGTGGATCTTTGCTTGACCCACTCTTCGAAAAGGAAGTGTTAAAATATAAATAATTAATCAAATATTTTCTTATCAGTTTAGAGTTTTTGAATGATTGATCACAATCCATTAGTTAATATTAAGCGGCCAAGTTAGAACATTTACCAGAAAGGTTATGAACTTTGTATCTGCGTTCTGCATGCCAAATCCTCGGAGATCAACTATTATAA